AAACAAATTTGGTAAACTATGAATGAATGAATATTAAACACCAGCGGGCTCGTAGGAAGGATTCAATGCACATTAGACTCAAAGTGAAGAGCTTATGTATCCCATTTTACCCAGCATTAGACTCAAAGTGAAGAGCTTATGTATCCCATTTTACCCAGTGGTTTGGTTTTTTAATAGTTCTATCTACCTCTTAAAAGGTATTTTTATTTTAATTTGTTTTATTTTTAACTTATTTAACTTATTTAATTTTATTTTATTTTCAACTTATTTTAATCTTATTTTAACTGGGATTTCCTGGGATTTGAGGTGTAAAACATCTCTGAAAATCAGAATGGGAGATGTTTGCAGTACTGGATGTCTGGACCCAGGTGTAGGTGGCAGCACCTTGGCTTTCCCTCCATGGGCTGGGAATGCATCTGGATCTTCACTGCTTGTGTTCCAGCATCCAGCAATGTGAGCATCCCCCCAGCCTGTGACATGTTTCAGTGGTCTGAGATATCATCCTTCCACTGCTCTTTATTCTGTTGAAGGGAGGAGGAGGGAAGAAACAAATGCCTGCCAACTTGCTTTTCTTACTTATTTCCTGGCAATTTAATGACATCATTTGGTAAAAGAATGTGCTTTTGTAGACACAGAATATGACTCTGCTGACCAGAAAGACTGGGAGACACGATGCATGTTTTAACCTCAAGAAATGCTAGGAACCTCCAGGCAGGAACATGTTTGCCAGCTGTACCATGCAAACCCACTGTCTTCCACATAGATGTGCCCTGTGGCATCCTGGAGAGGAAAACTTGACTAATATCATCTGCTTTGGACTGTCTGGGTACACTTCCAGCTGATGAAAGAGCTAGGAGGGGTCAATAAATTAATTCAGTTTGCTTGAAATAAAAGGTGGGGTTTTTTCAGACTTCAATCAGACAAACCATGAGCATGTTCTTTGCCAGTGCAGCTTTTAATGTGCTGCAGATGTAGTTTTACTGACAGTTGCTGAATAGCTTGTTTTCATCTAAAATATACGGATTGAACTTCAAAGTCACAATTTCCTGCAAGGTCAGAGATTATATTGGTGATTTTATAATATTTATAGTTCGCTCTGTGAATGGTCATGCATCTGTGTGAAAAGATGTGTACAAAGCCTCAAGGCATGCACGGGACACTGTGAATAATTGGAAATTGTCCCAAGTCTTTGATGTCATCAGATGAGATAATGTGGGGAGGCTTGTGAAAAAGGTTCTCAGAAATACAGGGGCAGAAATTAGGGACAGCAGAGGGGTTGTTTATGGGCTGGAGTGGGAGAGGGAAAGCAGGACAACTTCTTTATGGGGCTGCCCATGTTTGGGTCATCTCCTCATGAGGCTGATGAAACCTCAGTTCAACTTCATCCATGTTTGGATGTCTGCTTTATGTGAGATTCAGAGTTTGCCTTGCAGGAAGGGCCTGTTGGTGCTGCAGCACATTGTAATCCTACACCTGCTGTAGTTGTTCTGTGGTGACAGCAAAAGTGGGAAATCAAAGAGGAACAACAACTTGCCAGTGTCAAGCTTTTGTGCTCCATCTTTTGGCATGCTGGTGTGGTTGGTGCAGGCTCAGAAGGTCAGCAGAGTGAGAAGCAGCAGCTGCAGACAGCCAAGACATCCCCAGTATGGATTTATAGATGGGAAAGGTGAAATGCCTTATGGTGCTGCCTCTGTTCATCCTTTGAGTGTGTGATGATCACATCTCAGCGTGCGTTCTGTTAAGGCTGGGAACATTTTTAGAGAACACACACACTATCTGATTTTAGAAAGCAGCCAGCTATGCTAAAGCTACTTCTGCTCTACCTGAAATGCTCTTAGTTTTGTGGAACCTGGCAGCCTTGTGGAACATGTTGGTGATCCAATGAAATTCTGGCAGTAATCTCCTAACACCATTACTTTGGTTACTACACAGTTACATTTATTTGCAGTGTGGGGCTTTTTTGGTGCCAAATATTCAAAGCAGAATTGCAGGCTTTGTCAAGGATGACTTTACCAAAAAAGTGATTGGAAATTAAAACAATTCATTTTAGTAATAAAGTGACATAGATTTTACATAGATACAGATATCCATAAATATATCTACTTTCATATCTAGAGAAAATACTGTGTCTGCATAGCTGTTCATACAGCACTTAGGAGCTGTGGGATTAATGGCTGTTCCAGTATTTGCAAAGATTTAACACCACGTCTGACATGAAAACAGTGACAGTGCAGAACTCAGTTTCTATTCCTTTGGCTTTCCAGCATTGGTGCTGAGGCCTGGGAGACTGTGGGGTTTTACCAACACTGGTGGTGATCTTTCCATGCCATTGTGGGTTCCCTTATTTCTCCAGAGGAATCCATAATCAGTTGCAAGTACATTTTGTGGGGATTTCACATTTGTCAGTTGTTTTGCTGCATTCAAAATTGACCCATGGATATGCTACTACCTTTTGTTTCCTTAGTAATGTTGCTGAAATTAAAAGGAAAAACATTTATAAGGCATTCTGGTAGTTAAAAATGGTTATTAGAATAATGATGCTATTTAGTAACCTGTCTTGTATGCAGGCAGTTTGCCCTCTCCTTGATATATCTAATAGTCCATAGGCATTAGATGCTGAGCTTGTGGATATGTAATGGTTCTGATATGCTACAGGAGGTTTATTTTTCTCACAGACTTAAATAATACAGAGATAGTGCATTCTCTGTGCACATGAAACACTGAAAACCTCTTCATCCATCCACTGTGTCTGAATGCTAAAGTTCTTTCAGCTGGAAATGCAAGATCGAGTCAGGCTACAGAAGCATATATAAACAATGTTCACAGATTTCAGCAGAGTTAAAGTGAATCTCAGCATCATTTGAACTGATCTTCTGGCTTATTTGGAAGATTACGATAAAACCCAAGATCGAATTCCCTACCTGATTCAGTTTCTTATTGATTGAATCCTTTTAGACTCCTCTCTAATTTAACAGTGTATTTTTATTAAAGCCAAGCACACAAACATCAATTATCCAAGCTGCATCTAATTTCCTTCATTTTTTTTTTTCCTTTTGCTGCCAATGGATTAGAAGACATGATTAGAATTCAGCTTGAAAGCTGAAAAGCAGATCCCTAAATGAAAAAGTCTGCACTAGGAATTAAAATATCTGTAGTGGGCATAAAATCCTCCTCCTTATCTCTAATAATGTGAACACACTTGGTTCAGTTGATCTGTCACGTGTCTGGTGCAATGTCCCTGAATTAGATGGATGTATTAGTAAGGGTGGAGTGCTGTCTGTGGCACTGTTAGAATCCATCACCAGGATGTTTTAACACCAAAGTGTTTTGCATGGAGAGATCTGGGACATAAGGGTTAATGGGTAAGAGTTGGAAGGGCCCTGTTTTTCCTCTTGGGTTTTAATTCCTAACACCAGGAATGTTTGTGTGTGCACAAGCAATGGGAGCAAGGCAGAGAAGGGGCCTTCTTTTGGTAGCTTCTGCAGGGTTAAGGATTTTATAACACAGAGGTGAAATAAATAACTTCAATGGCATCACCAAGTGAAAATCCAGAAAACCCTTAACTGGTAAATGCATGTATTTAACATGACTGTAAGGAAGAGTTATAAAATCAATTAAATTGTATGTTCTTGTTTGACTGGGTTATAAATTTCCTTCTGGTGCCTGTGCTCTGCCTGGGATGATGAAGCCATACCATGAGCCATACACAGGCTCCATGAACTGCAAATGCATTATCTTTTGAGCAGCCTGGCCTAGTGAAAGGTGTCCCTGTCCTATTGGAAGTAAAGCATTTGTTGAGATGCTTTGTTTTCCTTTTGTACTGTGGATGGCAGTGCCAGTGCTGAGCTCTGCATGTGTGAGTGCACATCACAGGAGTTAATTGTCACATTTTGTCTGTGGAGAGATATAAAACCTGATTGTGCAGAGCTATAAACGTGTGTAGCTGCAGGGAATTTTCCTGGTGCTGGTATGAGCCTGGCTACCTGGAGCTGGGCAAAGTGAATCCCTTCCTCTGGTGCAGTGAGTTAAGCATAATTGCAGCTGACATCATGCACCAGTGCAGTGCAGTGATATTTCATTCCTTCACACCTAATCCCTTCTTTATCCTCTTTTGAGTCAACACAAGTCTGGCAAAGCTTGTTTGTGACACCCAGAGAAGCTTCTTGTAGGGCACCCCAAATGTTGTGGATTATCCCCAGTGTGGAGTGAGGAGCAGCAGGGCTCATCCCTGCAGTGTCATCCTCCAAATGATGAGCCATGGTTGGGAGCCTTGGGCTTGGCTTAGTATTATGCTACCTTCCCAAGTGGAAAGAAATCATATTAATATCTTTTATGTGTTAATGTCTTGTATGTTGTGAAGGGCAATTTAATTGGGTGGAGAAACTGCAGTTTCCACAAACTGATGAATAGCAGTTTTTTGAGGTTATCAGTTAACCTGTTGTAATGAATGCTCTTCATTACATGCCTCTCCTTGTTAATTAGAAGGGATTTTTACTCCTCTTTATCAAGTCAGGGCAAGTATATTAGCTTTCCTCTGTCGTGCTTGTGATAAAGTGAAGATCCAGATTGTTTTGTGAAGTGTCCACATGAATATTTCATTGCATGTGCATCACAAATTCATACCCTGTGTTTTCTGAGCTCTGACCTCTGATGATTATTCATTACATTTTAAAAATAAACAAACTATAGAGTGTTTAAGGTCTTTTTATTTATGTTTATAGGTAAAAATTCCCCTTTTTTTTGTAAATTAATTATGACATTAATTACCATGCCAGTTTAGACCAAGACAATTAATCACTGCTGTACACTGGAGCAACAACAGACTCAGACTCAAGTTCTCTGAGTGCAGAGGTGAGGCTTGTACCTTCCATAAATGAGAATGTGCCTGACAGAGGGAAATTAGTATCCTGGTTTGGATCTTTCAGCTGTGTTTATTTAAAAAACAAAGTCAAAACATAAACACGACCTCACTCAATTCCTCCTTGGTTTCTTTCCTACAGGTTGAAGCAATCCTTGTGAACATCTTTGGTGGGATTGTGAACTGTGCCATCATAGCCAATGGCATCACCAAAGCCTGCCAAGAGCTGGAGCTGAAAGTGCCTCTGGTGGTCAGACTGGAAGGTGAGCACTGCTGGATTCACACCACAACCACCCCTCAGGTTCTCAGGAGTTCACTCAGAATTTCTTCTTCTCCTAAACAGCTCAGTTTCACACAACAAGAACATGTCCGATTCTTCTGCCATAGCACAACCTGAAGTCAATAAACTCATATTTCTGCATTTATGGTCCCTGATGGTACTGGAAGCAATCAAATTTTGCAATGGAAGTGTTATGAGTTTGCCTGTAAGATTTGCAATGCACATAGGAATTATTTTGATGCAAGTTTATGCTTACTGGAAGATATTTCTTTTCCAAATTTTTTTTTTTTTTTTGGTACTGAATGCAATTCCATTATTGCTAAACCTGCAGCAAAATATAGTTTTCTTAAATTTACACCAGTGCCATAATTAAAAGAAAGATGTTAGAAAACCATATTTTTGAGAGAGAAATTACCATAATGTGTTCTGCCCAAACCCCCAGTCCAGCTAAAATCCAACAAAAACCAGAAGATTTGGTAATGGTAAGGAATATTTTTTCTTTAGTGCATCCAACATTGTTTCACAAGAAACAAAAAAGCCATAGAGAGGGGAGGACAAGAACTCTTTGGCAGCTACAGACTTTAATGGCAGTTGGGTGTGGAGTTCTGCCTCTCATTTCTGAGAGGTGCCCTGAAGGAGGGAGAGTCTTCTGCCACTGAGTGGAAAGTGCCTTGATTGCAATCAGCACACAGCCCTGGTAAACTGAAAATATTTCTCCTTGGCCAAGTAGGTTTGGAAAACAGAGAAATTTCTGGGTGGGTTTTACGGCCTCTTACTCAAAACCATCCATATTCATGTTTGTGTGTGTGTAAAGTGCATAAAATGTCCTGTCATTCTGCATTGGTGATGAAAGGAGGAAATGCATCCCTTTATGGACCTGAGATGCAATACTGAGGTGGTTTTTCACACTGTGATAGAAAGGGGAGGAAAATATGTTCTGAATACATCAAGCTTTTTACTTTTCAAAAATGACCCTCACCAGGATTCCTGAGGATGCAGAGTACCCACAGAGCCCTGTGGTTAGGGGGATGCTCCTTTTGTGTTTCAGGAGAAAGCAGAGCTTTACTCTCCCTCATTCTCATGCTGCACTGCACGTGCTTCCATGACTTCTGCTGTGGTGAGTGCAGGGAAGTTTAAATACCCTAAAATGGATTTTAGAAATAAATTGTGAAAATTTTTTTTGGCTGGTTCAGCACCAGTCAACACCTTAAGAGACTGAGTAAAAAGTTTAATATGGATGAAGGAGAGACGGATGGTTGTTGCTTAGAAGCAGAAAAGTTTCATTATATAAAATCTCATTGTTTATCAGCTCTAGGCAATGTTGTTTCACTTTTTGTCATAGCAAAAAAACTTTTCCTGTCTTTCACAAGTGAGAAAAAGTTTATCTGTCAGATCTGTGAGACTTCTCAACTGTTGTAATTGCTGCTTTTTAGGCAAAGATACTGAAAAAGTCATTAGTTCTTTCCTATGAACAAGATGTTTCTGTTGTGATACTGCTATAAAAGAAACAAGAGCAATTTGGTCATTTTAATCTGCAGTCTGCTGGCTCTGCCACTGCCTTTGCTTGGCCTTCATGCTGTAATTTTGATAGTTCCATGATTGTACAGAAGTAACAGTGAAAGCCCTGCAGAGGTTCCTGTTCCTCTTGTGCCTGAAACCTTTGAGTCATTTACTGCTCCATCCACAGAGATCGAAGCTGAATCTTCAGAGTGTCAAATACAGACTTAAATGCAAACATCCTTGTGTCACCATCCTCCCAGGACTGCTCACTCTTTCCTAAAGCTGTAATAATGTTTCTCCTAGACTGGCTGCTGACTCTGGAAATGGCAATACCACATTTTCTTTAGGAAGCTCTCTCCCAGAATAATACAGCAAACTCCCACTTTTGCATAATCTTTATCTCAAAAGTTTTTTTAATTCCTCTTCTTATTCCTCATGTTCATCCTAAACAAAGAGCTATGATGTTTACAGCCTTCAGATGTTGTACTTTGGAGCTGTTAGCAAGTCACTGCTGTTTTCTCTGCCTCTTTAATCACCTAACCAAGCAATACATGTATGTTTGGTCCTCAGAAATCAGTCCCTCTGGATCCTTCATTGTTCTTTGAACTCACAACATGTTATTTAAACTTATAAGGATTTTGAATTAATAATGAGCACTGTGGAAGTAATAAGACTACCCAAGACTTTTTAAAACATCACTGATTACATTTTACAGTTAAAAAAGAGAAAAAGGAACGAGCACTCTTTTGGGTTTCCATTTTGAACATTTCCCAGCAGAAGGTTTCTGATTATTCCCATAAATCTAACAGATTTGTGACCTGCACTTTAAAGACTTTTTGCCCACATGCACTGTACTACAAGTGTCTTGATGACTAGAGTTTTAATCAGTCAAATCTGTTTTGATTTAGTAGGATTCTGTGGACAAATCTTTGTTCTCAGTTGTATAATAATTACAAGCCGTTTTACCAGTGGATAAAGGAAGGATTACTCTCCTCTTTGAAAATGGTAACTTTATAATTACATATGTTTGCTTGCCTTATCAGTAGAGAACTCACCAGCTGAGACACAGGATTATTGTTTAAAAAGCTCATGGACAAATGGAAAAACCACATATTCCAGATTTCATCTTCTATAGATAGAAAAGTAACTGCTGCTGGGTTTGTGCAGGATTTTTTTCCCTTTAAAATGTAATACACTTCAGTTAAGTTTTGTGAAAACTGACTAGGAGTGCTGAGGGGAAGCCAAGCCTTGCTTCTCATTTATGTAGCTCAGAGTTAGATGAAAAGAGGGAAAAATAAAAAAGAATTGTGAATTAGATATCTACTTCCTATGCTGGAAAATTGACATTCTCTCTTTCAAAAAATGAATTCTCTTCTTCTCTGGTCATAGGGCAAGGAGGACTGGGAGGAATCATAACTACTTAATATGTTGAAATTCAGATAGAAACAAGTTGCTTTTTATTCACACGTCTGAATGCAAAATTTTATAAATTTTTCATTCATGTGATAGTGACCCTGTGTATTCTTCAGAATCTAAAATATTCTAATATCTTCAGAAAGCTTGTACACACAAGTGAATTTTGGCAGGTATAGTTTAGTATGTGTGCCCGGTTTTTTGATTTTTAGTATCCCAAATTGCCTGTCAAGAGAGAAGAATGGGATATGGCAAAGTCACACTTGCAACTTCATTCAGATCAGCCTACTCAGACACCTTGGGTTTAAACATTCAGCACAAATTTAAATGTGCCCTTCCCTGTTAGGATGTAAACATGAGGCAGAGGGAGAGATTAAAATATTCTTTGGGGCAAGTTTAAGGTAGGAAAGGGCCAATGGAGTGGACAGAATAGAGTTTAATTGTCTCTTACAGGTAGGCAGTGGAAGTTGCTTTACTCTTGACTACAGAGCCAACAGGTGTGAGTTGTGTAAGCCACCAAAACTTTGCCTGTTCCCTACCTAAAGGTCACTAATTAAAGCTTGGCACCAGCCAAACCTCAATTCAAATGTTGTTGAAGTTAACAAGTGGTGAACTTCAGCCCTGATTATCCAGTACCTGTCTCTGGGACCTGAGAGGCCACGAGTTTCCAGACTGTGGGAGACAGGAATGCATTGCCTGTGTCCATGCTGGGGGAGATCTGGCTCGGTGCACTCAGCAGTGCAGCATGCCAAATCCTTGCTAGGGATCCTGTAACATGGGCACAACCTGCTCATGCCACGAATAATAATTGACACTCTGCATATTGTGACTTTTTTTGTCATAGCAGAATGTTCTGGTTCAATCAGAGTATTTTTATATTATTAATCTATTTGTTAGCACATGGTAAATGTATATAACTGTGTCTTACCCCCTTACAGCTATTTACCTGAAAAGCCAGAAATGGCACTGCAGAATCCTGCATCCTCTCTAACCATCAGCATTAAACAGTGACCATTTAGCCTGTTCCTGATGGGTTTATGGCAGTCCAAGTGAATAAGGGGACATAATCCAAATCCTGCATTAGGAGAATGGCTGGGCATATTTTATTTAATTTTCATTCAACCTCTCACAGTGTGTGGTGGTGTAATCTTACCTCTGGTAGAGACATGCTTAGACAGAATATTTATCATTAGGATTTTTTTGGTAATGAGTTGGAAACATTTGCTTTGCTACTGGTAGCAGAGATTTCAGGTCCACAGAAGTGTAAATGTGAGATTGCATTTACACAGGCTGAGGTTGTTCCAGAACCCAGATTTTCAGCAGGAGGATGTTTAGATTACAAAGCCTGAAGGTACATGCTGATAAAATTACATCTTTCCAGGTTTTCTGTGGAGTGTTGTTGACAGTAATATGTGTCAGAAGACAAAAACTTCTAATTAGAAAACCATTCTCTTCATGGAATCCAGTTAAAAAAAAAACAAAACAACAAAAACACACACGCACAAAACCCCTAAACAATAAAACTCAGCAACATCAAAAGCCCCACAGCCTCCAGCCCTGTAAATTTTCACCTTTTCTCAGTTGTCTGTAGGGTAGGTGAAGGGCAGATTATTCTGATAGCCTGGATATGGGAATTCTGTTTACAGTTCTCTGACACCATCCAGTGGCAGGAGGCTAATGCTGGAATAGTGGGATTCTTTATTTGTTTATTTTAACATCTGTTGCAACAAGATGATATTCTTTGTAGATTCCTAAAATGTTTCCAGTGTTTTTGGAATGTTTAATTTTTAATTTTTTTACCTCTGCTTTTAGCAGGCTCATTATAATTTCCATATTCTCCACATAGCTAAAATACTTAATCACAATGAGATAAAAGGCTATCATGAAAAAAAAGGGGAATTACAGCAAAGAAAATGCATTTAGAAAAGTGTATTTAGTTCTATGGCCTGCCTATAAAAGTGTTTTATTTACAAAATAACAAGATGTACTCATACACTTTTGACTGCAGTGAGATTTTTATTTTTTTTTCAGCTTTCATCATTTCATTTCCCTGCATAAACTCCCCCTCCCTTCTCAGGGGCCTGTGTTTTGTATTGATTTTGTAATCTATGTTAGACAAGTGGTGTGGAGAGCAATCAATGCAGTGCAGAACAGATCCAATGTATTGTTCCCTCTCTGACCCATTAGTAAATTAATATTGGCCACTTAGTGAAGAGCAAAAGTTAGTTTTAAATACATGGCTATCACAAACAGCACTATATTTTTTTCTGTGTGGGAAAATTTCCAGGAAAATTTCCCTCTTTCCTTTTTTCTCCTCTTCATAACATTTTGTCTTGTAGAATCCTATTTGAGAGATCAGTACATTCTTGACTGTTTTAAATGTTTATCACATTTGTGTCTAAATAAAAGACAAAACCTTTAAGGCGTGGTGGGGATCACTGTAGGAATGTGAGGAATTCCAAAGTGAAGAGAACCTTGGGAATGGCTTCTGCCTCCCCTGTGCAGAGCTGGGCTGACAAGGAGTAGCTTCCACATTATGTTATATAGGAAGCTTGAACAAAAATCAAATATTATGCTCTTTTTTTGTCCATAATATTTTTTTTTTCTGTAGAAAAAGTTCTGTACAGTTCTGGGTGTTACTAAGCAACCAAATCCCCCTTCTGTCAAAGATTTCAGATGTCTTTGACCTTCCTACACAAACCCTACAGCGTGTCCTCTGCACAAGGATGGCAAGCATGACCTGTTCTGCCAGTGCCTTTGCAGAGGGAGCAGATGGGGTCCCACGTTCCTGTTCCTGATCCTGCCTCTCCCATCACAGAGTGCTGTGGCAGGGATGTCTGCAGTCCCTTTCAGAGCCAGGAGTGGCAATCCTGACTTGAGCATGCTGATGAAACAGGCTTTTGAAATGCTCTGCTTCTCTGGTACCATTTCAGATGTTTTATGAAGTCTGAAAAAAAAAAGAAAAAAAAAATTTAAAAAGTCATCCTTTAAAATGAGCATTCTGGAAGTTGCACAGTAAAGAGTATGCTTCTTGCTTGGTTAATAATTAAGGGTATAATTAGTGTATAGCTCCAAATATAATTAAAATTCATTTTGCTAGGTCTAGGAATTACAAAGTAATTAAGCATTTTGACATGGCAAATGAGCAAGGAACATGACATGGAGGAGGAGGATAGAAATGATTCTAAAGAGGATCAGCTCGGGGTGCTTGTGCTTGTGACTAGTGTGTGATCCCAAAGTGTGGATTCTGCTTCCTCAGTAGGATGTCTGACTCCAGGTTCTTCTGTGGTGCAGAGCATAGCAGTGATCAAAAGTGTCACTTGGTTTTGCTGCAGAAAGCTCTGGAGAATTCAGATTTTCTGTTAGTCTTACTTTTCCAAAAAGAATGAGATCGACTAAATGGGAAGGTGATGCTCTTGTCTTTTAGAAAAGTATGAAAAGTGGGGAAAATGTATTTTCCTGAAATTTATCTTTTCCAGTTTTGGATTTTTTTCCTTTCCTGTGCTTTAGTCTATTGACTGAGGTTGAGCTTTTTCCATACAAACTGGAGCCCTTGTGCTGTGTAATCACATATTCTCCTTGAGCTGGGGTGGATGTGGCACTCAGTTTATTGGTGGTTTATTGGTGGGCTTGGCAGTGCTGGGTTTCCAGTCATACTCAGAGATCATAAGGGTCTTTTCCAACCTAAATGTTTCTGTGATTACAATAATTTAAGCAGCAGAGGAGGGATTGGTGTCATGCTGAATACTTCAGAGACCTTGGTACTCCCTGTTTTTAATAAAAATGCAAAAGCATATTCAGGACCAACATAACCCCAAATAAATTTTGAGGATTACCCAAATCTTTGCCCTTCAACAGCCCATTTTGCAGCTTTCAGTTATCACAGGTGAATTTTAGTTATTGTTGACTCACTGATTAGCTGTAGCTGATTGTGGCTAATAAATGCTTTAAAAAGAGCCTGGTACGTGGTCCATTATCCAGTGCTCTTGCTGGATGTCCCTGCTGACTCTGGGGGATGCTGCATTGACCCTCCAATCTTCACAAAGCCCCTGTTGTGCACACAAGTGCCATTATCAGATTGCATTATCTGTCACAATTGTCTCTGGAATTAAGAGCTCCTTCTCAGCTGAGTCTAAGGCACTCGTTTAATCTGTTGCTAAACTGAATTGATGTGTAGTTTGAGGCATTACCTGATTTTTCAGAGATGTGCTAGATGTTCATTTATTCATTAATATTAATTACTAATTATAGTCAGTGTTCTTTTTTAGGAACAAATGTCCAAGAAGCCCAGCGTATTCTGAGTGAAAGTGGACTCCCCATCACATCTGCCAATGACCTTGAGGATGCAGCAAAGAAGGCAGTGGCAAGTGTGGCCAAAAAATAACACCTTGAAGATTATTCTCATGGAAAGTACTTGTGTTTCACAAGGCATCATTCCTGCTGCTGTTCCAGAGGATTAATGGAGTTCTCCTAAGCAGTCATCAGGCTTGGCTGACAATAATTGATATAATAATACAATAATATCAATTATTGTCATCTAATAAAATAAATAACAATTGGAGATACGTGGCCAACCCAGGCCATAGGCTTGCAGGTGGGGCTTCAGAAATTTTGCAGCTACAGTGTTCAGAAGTTTATATGTCTTTATCTAAGTTTGGTAATTTTGTTAGTCACAACTGTAATAAGTAATACTTCAGCTCTTTTTTGTCTCTCCTTCCAGAATTGTCACTGATAAACTTATGATAAGACAAAATAAGTAATAATTGACTTTTGTCAACAGAATTGTTCTTTAATCAAACACTTTCAGGTCATCCATTTCACAGTATTTTCATTCATGTTTTTATATTGTAAAGAGCAAACTAACAGTGGGTTTATATTTTCTATGAACTTTTACAATAATGTAAAAAGCTGTGCTTACAATCCTATTTTTATTCAAATGAATGATGTTTATTTTCTTTTTTTGGAAATCACTGGCTTTGCCTTAAGATGATTCTCTTTTGTTGATGCCAATGGATACCTCACAGTAGAAAAAGGCATTGAGTAGCTGGTAGTGAAAGGAACTCCCACTCTTACCGTGCCTATAAACCACTGAAATGTGATTCATTTATTTTCTAGTTTTTGGAAATGCCCTGCTGTATGTCCAGGTGTAACAATGCCATACAGGGGCTCCAGGAGGATGTTTCTGCCACTAAAGAAATGGCTGCTAACTTTTTTTAAATAACCTCTTTTGTGAGAATGTCACTGCTGTGAGGTTCTAAAGTAAGATGAGAAACTGAAGCAGTTTTCTCTCAGGAGCATGCAGAATTGTTCATCTGATTTAAATTCCAACAACCATTTCTAATTTATTGGGAATAAAACACAAATGAACTTTTCAATTTTTAAAGTATTTGACTTCACAGGCATCAGTAAAATTATGTATAAGGAAAAAAACCCTAAGTTTCAGTACTCAGATATTGACCAAGATTCATTTTGATTATATACTCTTTTGCAGCAGTCAAAATTCAAGCTGTTAGTTACACAAATCATTCATTCAGGGAACAGAAGGCAATACTAAATATCTTGTGTAACTAAAGAACTTCGTACAAATCTCACTCTGCCCAGGAATTATGTGCTGAAAATCATCAATAAATTTGAACAGTGAACAAATGAGGGGATATTATGATCTGGAATTGTAAAAGGGCAGAGATATAAAAATTTGTGAAATAAATTCCTAATTGTGATTTTTTGAGCAGCTCTAATCAATACCATGTTCTGCTTAGAAAAATGTAAATAAATTTTTCTTGACATTTCCATTAAAACTGTCACATTCAAAATAAATTATCTGCACTAATCTTTGGCTCTTGACACAAATAGTGCAGATAGGTTGCTATCATCAATTCCTGCAGGTTTTTCCTTCTCCATTCCTTTCTCTACATATTGCTCAAGGAAAAAATGTGACCATTAGAACAGCAATAAATATGCCACTAGGTCTGTAGTTATTGACAGAATGAAGGAGAAGGGTATCGTTAGCAGCTTTCTTGAAGGTGCATAAAAGCCACACTGCTCTGAAGGAAGAAATGTTTACCTCACCACAATAAATAAAAGAGTCACATTCTATTTTATATATTTTAATACTGGAAAGATAAGATTCTGTGGAAGAACTGTTTGTGAAATGCTGTCACACACTGTGTCTCTAACTCTGGTCTCAAAACCATCCACTCTGTGTACACAATTATTATTTTGCAAAGGTTAATACTGTATACACCATTTTGTCAAATAAATGTAAAAATGAACAAGTTTATTGATTTTCTTCTTACTGTAAAATAGAAAATGTTTAATTTGCCTGTGCTCTTCCATTCAGCATTTTTTGACAGGTGAGTGAAATCATATGCATTGGGATTTAGTTTCAATTGGGTGATACTGCTATACTCCAACATATTTGCCTTTTACCTAAAAATGTAGATCATTTTATCTCTATATATCTTTTCTTATATGTATGCCAATGACAGTACATACAAGTTTTATTCCTCTTAAGCCATATACAGAATGGAACAGTACAATTTTAATTTTTCAGATGTAATATGGAAAATTCCCTAAGCTCTGGTTTGGTGTCTTTGAAGGTTTGGTGTTTCACAGGCACTGTGCACTGTAACCAGAGGCTCACTGTGGTGATGTTTTATTTGTATGGATCATTTCTCTCCATGTGCAAATGTGCAAAGTTGGGTTTGGTCTCCCCAGGAAAAGCATTTTTTGTTGCATTTTCCCCACACAAACTGAACAGCAGCATAAGCAGTGGGTAAGTTCCAGCTAATCCCCTCTGTGAAAGCTTTAAGTGGGATTTAATTAGCCTTTAAATCTGGAAATTTCAATCTGTATTAATAAAACTCTGTAGGACGGGACACTTTGGAAGGCAAAACAGGAGGAAACTGTTAATGCTGACATTGTGTTACATCTTTAACAAGATGCCTTTAAATTCTCACAGCAGAAGTGTAACAGCTGGGAGTTCTGCAGCAATGTCCTTAAGGAGCACTTATTCCCCTGTTTGTCAGGGCTGTGCCTCCCTGCATCGGGCAGAGCAGCTGGTGTCACTCAGAATTGCTGTGATTGGAACAGCATGGCACTGCAAATCAGTCGCCACAGGAGATGCCAAGCAGGGCTCCCTGCCCTGCCCTCCGAGCTGAGCTCTGCCCATGGCCTGAGGTTTCAGCACCTACAATAACATCCTCTGCTTCTTGTGGGTCAGGCTGGCCTGAGGCTTCCCCCTTGCTGGGAGCTGAGCCCAGGACTGGCTGGGTGTACTAAGGGTGGCCCAAAACACAGGACTGAGCAGCCTCACTGGGCTAGGGGAGCCAGGAAATCTGTGCACAGAGCCAGGCAGTGGCCAAACAGTGTCCTAGAGCAAAAACTCTCAACTTACAGAAATCCCCAAGCTTTCAAAGCTTAGGGCTTTATTACATGGCATGTAGAATGCCAGTTCTCTGCTGCTGTAAGCCTCAGCTAACTGAGATTTCATTCCTTGTTTTTCTTCTTGCTGCCTTTCAGGAAATTAATTGGAGTGTGTTGTAGTCAAGGTCAGCTCTAGCACGGCTGAAGAGGGGCAAAGAAGGTCATTGCACATTTCAATTTATCATCCAGCTTCTTTCCCCTCCCTCTTCTAAACTTACTGGGGTTTTTCCCCACTTCTCCCCACACTCAGCTCACTCCCTGTGTTTCCTCACTGCTGTGGTGCTGTCCTCAAAACTGGCTGAGCCCTTGGCACTGGGTTTTGCTGGGTTTGTGTGGCTGGGCTGGGGCTTCAGGAGTTGTGTGAGCAGCCAGCTGGGAGCAGGCTCTGCTCAGCCTGTCTGGCACCAGTGGCAGGATGCAGGTGGTGCACACCAGCCTGAAAACCATCCTGGAATCCTCTCAGTGCCACTGCTGTCCCCAAAGGCAAAGAGCTCGAGCTCCACACTCATTTGTGTGGGACAGGGATTAAAGAAGGAGCAGGAATGAGCTGAGGAGTGTCTGACTTGCCTATTCTGGGGTGCTCTGAAACAGGACTGAGCTTTTGAGGCTGTAGAAAGACATGTTTGGAATAAATGAGAGGAGGGGAAAGCTTGGCACCCATGTTAAGGTTTGTTTCAAAGCGAGGAGCAGTCATCCCTGCAAGGAGAAATTGTCTCCCCTAGTTCAGCGTGGCCAGGACAAGCAGTGAGGAGCTTTGGCTCTGGTAAGGGACACTGAGGTCAGACTTGTAGTCATGGGGTAAGCCAAGGGATGGGCTGTGAAATCAGCAATGGATGTGTTTTAGAGTTAGGTGAGCATCTGTCAGGGATGGCCTAAGGAGAGTTGATTCTTGCCTCAGGGCAGAGGGATGGATGAGGTGACCTTCCAGCCTGATTTGATAGGATTTAATGCTTGTTGGGAAGGTTCTGTTTTCTTTTTTTCTCCCTAACTTGTAGGTATAGGGATGAAAAAGGAAGACAGATCTGGTGGATTCTTGAAAGAAACTGTTTTTAATTTAGTCACCAAGAATGATCTGCAGCTGCCAGGGAAATGAAAAGCAGATTATGCAAACTCAAGACTTTTCCTAACAATGGGAGCAGTGTTATTGCAATGCATAAAGGGCTGAACAGAGAATTAGGGGTATCTATCAACTTTAATACATTTAATTTAAAAAGGAACAGGTTGCACCAACAATTTTTTTCCTACTTAATGAGACCCATTCATAAGTAGAATAACAGGATTTGCCTGTCACCCAGAGGAAATCATGGCTTGTGTATTTGTACTTTGGTGCAAAACTTGTGTTGATCGCAGTGATTTAAAACTTTTTCCAGCCCAGCTGCAGTCAGTTTGATGTCAGGATACTTTCATCTGGAGACAGATGCACCCTTGGTAGAATCCTCAACACGTCTGTCTTTGTTCAGTCTCACAAAGTACCAGCTAAAGATTAAAAATGAAAGTATACATGGATTATTGTGTGTTACTCCTCAGAGATAGCTGCTGTGGGGTAAGATTTGACTTATCCAAGACCTGGTAGCAGATTGCAGAAGAATCTCTGGTGCATATGTGAATTTGGCCTTTGGCATTTCTGTTCTACCCACGTTGGTGGGTGCTGGGTAGTGTAGGGACAGGGACCATTGCACAGCACGGGGTGCTCCCCATGTCCTCTTCTACAGGACTGAGAGCACTGAAGAGGGAAAAGGGTTTCTGTGTCTCTTGGATGAGTGTCAGGCTGGAGGCAGGACCTGTGTCCATTCTGGTGTGTGGATAGACAGACACAGGCTGCTTCCACTGAGTTCCCCCTGCCACATTCTCTTTCATAAGCCTTTCTTTCATCTACCTTGATGGGCAGACAGAGGGCAGAAAGCCAGGGAGCTCCCAGATATGGCAGCAGGATCCTCACTGGGCCTTGGGAAGGGCTCTGCTTCTCATGCCTGCTGAACCTCACTCTGCCTGCAAGGAAAATCCTCCATACTAGAATTGTGATGGATTCCCACATCTGCCCCGCTGCGGCCTTGGAGCCCTCACACATCATCAAGAAGGAGAAAGTAAGAGCAATGCCATGAGGATAATATTCCCTGGTACAGAAGATGCCTCATTCTGAACCTCCTTGTGTTTCAAAGATAGGGGAATAGCCTGGCCCTCAATTCACAATTAAATCTCTGCTAATTTTTAATGAAATCTAACAGAGATAGCCAAGCCTGGAGAGAAGGAAGCATCTGACAGAAATAGGTTGCTCCATGAATTAAGTGCTGTTGGGATGTGCAGCATGATGGGATTTGGAAACTGGGACCTTTGTATTTACCAGAGCAACTCTTCTGAATGCACGGATGAATGCAAGCAGGTCATCATCAAGGAGGTGACAGTGACAAAGTATTGGTAAGCAAATCTGGGAAAGGAGGGCTCAGAGAGATCAAGTGTAAGAAATTTTGCATTTCTCTAGATACAGAGGTGAGGAAATGAGAAATTTGATCTTTCTATTATAATCGACATAAAGAATTACAGGGCAGCCAAAGGCCACACAGCTAAACAAAGCTGTTCCCTTTAAGTTTATTTCAAATGTCTCTCTGCTTCAGCACTGTGTCCTTCAAGACCTTCCCTCTGTAATTGCATGTGGCAGCCTCTTTAGAGCTAGGTGCCGACTGCTGCTCCAAAACAGAAACAAAAAATAACAGGCAAGAAAGGGCATTGCAGCAAGGCCTTAGGAGGGGTGTTGCTCCTTTGTTTCACCGTGGGGTCAGTAAAGGGGGGTAGGAAATGCCATTTAGTTCAGGGGCACTGCTCTGTTTGACTTCCTGACCGAGTGTGGGCCAGCACTCAGCAGCTCAACCCGTGTAACAACTCTCCTTCCTTGAGCTTCCACTCAAAACCCTGACCCTGGAGGCAGCACAGCTGAGCAAGCAAAGGGCATTTGCTGCCCTGCCTTACCTGGCTGCCTGCTTAGCAAAACCAGCCTTGAGGCCCAGCAGTGAGGGACCAGAGGCCTCGTTCCAGGGGGATTGGCAGCAGCGTGGAGCTGATCCACCGTCACTGTGATATCCTGGGCTGGGGGGGAGCCAGTGCTGAGCAAAGAGCCCCCTGCAGCTGTGGGGGGACTGCTGCCCTCCAACAGGAGCCCAAGGAGCAGCAAAGGCTTGTCCTGCCTCTGGCACCAGCGCTGAGGGAGATGGGCTGCGCGTGGGGAACGCAGAGCAGCGCTGGCCTGCCCTTGTGGCCTCTGTGCCGTGCTCAGACAAGCTCAGACTTTCCCAGGAAGGTATGAATCTTTTCTTTGTCATCAACAGATGTCTAAAACCCTCTGGCCCTGCATAGGTTGTCCTGACTTGTCCCTGAAATGGGTGCCAGGGAAGTGGCCTGGTGTTGGCAGCTCTGTGCAAGGAGTTCCTGGAGATATTTGGGCAAGATGAGCTGTGGGCTTATCCCTCCCTTTTTTCCTTACAGTGAAGTGGGTGATTTTCTCTCTGCCCCTTTTGTTTTTTCTCTTTCTGAGGCAGACATGGGAATAAGGTCCTTTTAGGAATTCTGGTTGCAGCATTCCTTTCTGATGTCAACAGAAATTATTAGAGCTTGCCCAAATAATCCAGTATTAATACTAAGGCAGACAAACTCCCAGTATTTCTCTTGGACTTTCTTAATCCTCCTCATTCACTGAAGTTCAGCTTCATTGATTAGCACTGCTCAGCCTAAATCTTGTGTTCCTGAAGTGCTGGAAGGCCCTCAGTGCCAGAGCCTTTTTCTGCTGTTTTCCCAAGTGATTTTTCCCATATTGTACAGCAGGAGGAATGTCATACGAGGATGTTAATCCCTTTTGAGCTGTGCTCTAAACAAGTATGTGCAAAACACAGGGAAAATGAAGCAATACATTATTTTGCATTTAATTTTCCATACCTATTGTCTTGTAGCCCTGGTGGAATGCTTGACATAACACACCTCCACAGCTTGTCCACTGAACATCTGTCAGTCAGTCCTTACATTCTCTTCAGAGAATCCTCAGAGCAGAAAGTAAATTTTCTCAGACTTGCAGAATGTCACTTGCAAAAGAATGAGTCTTTTTTCTGTGTTTGCCGTGGTGGGAGCAGGACACTGCTGTTTTCATTCCAGTGTTCAGAATGCTCAGAGTGCTTCCTCATCAAGACAAAACTCTTGAGAGCAACAGCAGAGCAGCGTCACTGTCAGTCATCCTTGTGCCCAACTCAGCCCTGAAGCTCCAATCCTATTGATTTCCTTAACAGAAAGCCATCTTGATATTTTCTCCCCACTATCATCTGGATCATATTCATTGAAGAAATTCCTGCTCTTAGACCTGAAGGATTCTCACTGTCATGCTCCATCTGCTGAACCTGGCTTGTTCTGCATGACAGCTGCATTGGATTTTCACGTTGGGAAATTCCCATCTCCGTGTCATGAGGCTGCCCTTTGAAAAGAGCTCCCTTTGAAAGGACACAGAGGCACCTGCCAGAGCAGTGCCTCCTTCTGACAGTTGATTTCAGGTTTAATGATTGAGCTTGAGCTTTTTCACTTCACAGCTTAAGTTCTTCCCCAGTTGTTTCCAGATCTTTCAAAGATCTGAAAATGCAGCACCAGCTGGAAAGCTCACGTTTGCAGGACTTGTATGTAGGGTTCCTTTTGTTCTGCTGTCTCTTACTGGTGTAATCACCACACACTCTGTGTTGGAGTCCCTTCTAAGATGGGTATTAAAGGCAGGTGGTTCAGAAAGTGTCTGTATCACTTCCAGCCTTCAGGACAGAGCTGTACAGCTTGCCTATGGTGTCCCAGGATCCCCATCCCTAACTCAGAATATGTGAATCACAATGAAACATTCATTTGGCAGTTCAGGAGCAGGTGCTGCTGTAATGGTTTGCAATAATTCCCATTCACAGAATCACAAAATTATTTGGCCTGGAAAGGACCTTCAAAGATCATACAGTCAAACCTTCCCTGCCAACCATCTTCCACTATCCTAGGTTGCTCAAAGCATCATCCAGCCTGGCCTTGAACACTTCCAGGGATGGGGCAGCCACAGCTTCTCAGGGCAACCTGTGCCAGGGCCTCACCACCCTCACAGGGAAGATTTTCTTCCCAGTATCTGATCTAAATTTAGATTCTTCTGTTTAAAATCTACACTTCCTGATGATTAGCTCCACTTATCTTTCCTGTAGCCTCCTTTAGGCACTGGAAGGGGCTTTTTCTTGTATATACATAAATGCCATAGCATGATGAAAACTTCAGTGGGAAGGATTTTTCCACAGACTCCACCCCTTCAGTCTTCATTCAATTCTGTCTTTACCCAGAAAAAGAAAAAAAAAAAACAGATGGGTAAAAAAAATAGTAAATATGTCCAAAATACTGTAATGTTTCATTTCTCAGGCCTAAAGCACATGTAAGAGTGCAGGGTGAAGGCTGCCCTCGCAGCCCTGGTGGTTCTGATCTGCTGGGGGATCACTGGGGGAGCACTGGGCTGGAAGCAGTTGCTGTGGCCCCTTGGTTCCCCTCCCTTCCCTGCATCTCCAGACTGGCTGGATGCCAGCAATTAGAAACTAATTGAGAAGCTTTAAAAATGCATCTCTTCCCCATTCCTTCTGCTCTGTTTAATCCTCTGAGAATCCCAGCAGAATTCTCCACAAGGGATTTTGCACCATGTTGGTGTTAGCTCGGTGTCTGCAGTTAAAGCAGGTGTCTCAGCAGAGTGGGGCTCTCTGGGGACCTGGGAGGGACTCACTTTTCTTGCTGTTCCCTCTGCTGCTCTGTCCTCCTGGGTGCTCTCTGGGGTGTCACAGAGTGTCCAGGTCCAGTACCTGCATTGTTCTTCTTGATGGGGAGATCAGAGCATGAATCAGTAACGCTGGCAGGCGTTTCTGTGCTTTTCCCTGACCTCAGTTTAATATCGAAATCTGTTGCTATTGACAGCCTGGGAATTTCCCAGAAGCAGAGAAGGTGGCCTCATCTCCTCACTGTCTTCTGGCAATTTCTGTGCACAATACCTGGGTTTTTGCCTCCTTTGCCTGGCAGCGAGGAGCCCTGGTCAGTGACCACCGCTGTACCCAGCAGTAACCAAACATGCAACACTAGAGCCAGGCAGTGCCTTGGGGAACCAGAGATCCCCCTCTGCTTTATAAGTCTTCCCCCTGACCTGTAAACCATTCATTTCTATTATTTCCAATTATTCCTTACTTACAGATGTTTATTCCCTGCATCCAGCAGGGAGTGCAAACAGTCATCCACCCCCTCCCTGCAACTTCTCCCCTGGCTCTGCATCTCCCTCCTGCTCACTCCATCTCCTGGTATCCTCTTGCTTTTGTCTAGGCATTCCAGGTTGCCAAGGGAGGGTCAGGAGTGTGTTGAACCATCGTTTTCATCCTCAGCCTCTGCCAATTCCATGGAGTTTGGGTCAGACCCCACGTTATTGCTGTCACTGCTCTTGTGGGTTTTGGGAGATTTAGCCCAAGGAAGAACTTTTTGAGCACAAGCATTTCAATGCCTGGTAAGTAGAAAACAAGAAGCTGCTTTGCCATTTAGACCAAAATGCTAGCTAGGGGGGAGATGTCTGGAACAGGTTTTGAAAGCACAGAACAGGCATGGCCACCCTCACCCTTGCTCCTCCTTCAGGGTGGCTGCACGGGAGTGCCTGGGATTGTGAGGGATTGTGAGGAAGCAGCTTTGTGTCACTTTGCTTTTTCCCCTGTTTGTTCCAGTTCCCCAGCCCATTTACCAGTGGAGAACCTGTTTGCATGGGTTTAGTGCTCACCTCTGATAAAGCCCATCAAGAGATTTATGAAAGTAATGTACTAACATCATGGTCTGTCAAGTGTCAATAAGCAGAATAAAGCGCTCAGACACTGCAGTTATAGAGAACCAGCAATTAAAGCATTTGATGAAAGTATTTTATGTGGGTATATATTACCATTTGGTTCAATTATTCTGCCATTAAACATTAAGAATAATTGAACCAAATGGTTCCTGATAGAAGGAATACATCTGCTCTGATGAATTCCTGCCAAAAGGCACTTGGAATCTTAGTACAAGCATTTTGTCAACCAAGATAACAGTATTTTTCTCTCCAGCTGAGGGCCTTTTGAAAGCAGGGCTTTTGAATCTTATTTATGACGTATAAATTGGCTAATTTGTTACCAATATCAAACAGCCCATAAGAATCAGGCAGTGTAATAGCTAACAAAATAGTGACAGCTTCATCACTTGCTGACTGCATGGAGTACAATATATGCTCAATTAATAGAGAGAGCAATTATCACAGAAACTGTGAGCAAGAGCTAATTATACAGAAGCCAATCAAAACCAGCCCAAAGCAAGGCAGAATCTATTTCAAGAAACCTGAGATTTATTTTTTTCTCTTTTTACTATTTTTGGCTTTTTTTTTTTTTTCTGATTTCCATATTTGCCCCACCTCCACTAGAGAAAATCAGAGGTGGCACCAAAAGAAGAATAACTCAGCCAAGTTCCTGTCCATAATGCTGTGGTTCCAATTTCCAGTAGCATAGGTTCCAATTTCTATGTGAAATAGAAAATCACAGTGTTTTGCTGTTTAATCCCATTGCAATTTTGGTGTAACAAGGGATAATAAACAAAACAGAGCTACACCCTTTGCCTAGAGTGTGAGAGACTTGCACCCAGTGACAGATGGGGACAGTTTAAAGGAGATTTAAGAGAAAATAACATCTTGATATGTATTTTGAAAAAAATTCCGTGTTCAAGGGAGTGGGAAGGGAGTGCCCTCTGGGAAGGGCAGCTTTTAATTATAGGATAAATACAGCACTTGGCTTGTTAAATTCCTGATGGTCTCTTAAACACTCAGTGGCTGCTAAAGTGAGAGGTCAATCTCCTGCTTTCACTGAAGCTGAAGGGGAAAAAAAATCTATATGAAAACATGGATTTAATTGATTTTCCTTGGCCTTTATTTCCTGTAGCTCTCATACTTTGGGTAATGTTGGTCATTCTTGGAAATATCCAAAAATATGAAGCTGGAGAAATGAAAAAAAAATAAAAAATAAAAAATAAAAAAATAAAAAAAAATATCCCATTAGATGCAAATCATTTGAAAGGCCAAGAATTCTCCCTTGTTTCAGAAACTGAGAATATTTTGAATGATCCTGGTTATATTCAGCAAATTAATAGTCATTCCTGACCATGGGGTTATTTAATTTTCCATTAATGGGGGTTTTAATTAGAAACGTTAATCTTTTACACTACATTTAGAGACCACAAAATTAAAGATAACACAAAAAGAAAATAAAAAAACCAAACAAAAAACCAAAAAACCCTAAACCATTGGAAATCCATGATCTGGCAGCCACAGGTAGCCTTCTGCTCAGTAGAATCCTTTCTAGAATTAGAAAGCAAATTGTTTTACTCACAGGTGACTAGAAAAGGGACTTGGATGTTTCCCCTCTGAGGACAATAATCTCCTGTTGAAGTACTGTGGTTGAAGATTTATTTTTGCTTTTGAAGATAAATGACCATTTGGAATGGATGTTATTCACTGAAAGTTAGGAAATAACAGTTTATACTGAAACCAAAGGAATATTGTCCTTGTTTTGATTGACTCACATGACAAAACATGAGTTTTCCAGTGGTAGGGCCAATGCCTTTTTTTTTTTTTTCTAGAATTTTTTGCTGTTGTTGTTGTTTTGTTTCGATAAAAAGACTTTGGATGTATGAATTGTACTCAGCATATGATGTTACATTTTGGAAGCTGCTCTGTGTCCTTTATTGGAAAAGAAGCTTTTGGGTTCTGATGGATTTCGGAGAGAGGTGGAGTCAACATTTTTCTTTCCTCCATTTTTTTTCTTTTTAATTTTATACTAAAGTTATTCCCTGAATTAGCTGGCTGCAAAACCCTCTATCTCACAGCCTGCATCTTTGTGTCCATGTACTCTCTGCTTGGTGAAAAACAAGGTTGTTTACCCCTGGAAGTGATCAATGGCTCCTGCAGACCCCGGCTCAGCAAAGACATCCCACAGCAGGAAACCACTTAAGCATGTGCTTTGCTGTAAGCAGAGATGGAAGGGAGAAGTTGTGCTCCATGAGCAGCAATGGAGAGGTGCTGATGGGTTTTTTAAGTTCATTTTTATCTCTGAGGGGTTTATTAGACTTTCACCTACTTCCAGCTGTATCGTAACCAGCACCCGCAGAGGAGTTCATTGCTCACACCAGCCTGGAAGAGTACCTTGTCCCCCTGGACCTGGTTCTCAGAGCTGTCACCCAGCACTGCTGCTTCAGGATTAGACCCTGGTGCTATTTTTGCTGTAGAACTGATTCTGGTAAGCTGCACCCCTGGCTTAGTGCTGGGTGACCTGACCTGGTGGGAGTCCCCTTCAAAGCTGTGCACACTCCCCGTGCTCTGGCATCCCTCAGAGCACATCCACAGGGCTCAGTGGCTCTCCCAGCCAGCTGAAAACCTGCTCCAGCTCCTGAGATGACTGGGATTTGGGGGATAGCACTGGTGCTGACCTGTGGCTGAGTTGGCCACTGTCAGCCCTTGAGTGGCTGATCCTGCTGGATCTGATGAGGGGGTTCTAGCTGGAGTGGGACCAGAGCTCATGGGCTCACCCCGCTGCCATGGCAGGGAAGGAGCTCAGCCCCTTCAGACCTGAGCTCTGCTGTGTCCCTGGGCACTACCAGCAAACACAAAGCTGTGTGGATGGGCAGTGTTGCTCTTAAGAAAGGCACTGGGGTGCTGTGCAGGAGACCTGTCTTTTGTTCGTGGCTCCCAGCTGGTCTCCTGGGGTACCAGGACAAAACCCTTTTTTATTTCTTTGTACCTTAGCTTGCTATCTGTCAAATGACATTGGTTTCTTTTGTAAAACCCAAGGCTGAAGAGTGATATTCCTATTTACTGCTGTATGAAATTCACCATTGTTACCTTATTCAATGTCATTTTTTCCATGATTTAAAAAATACCCTTAGTGGTTGCATTTATTTTCTTCAAACCTTTAGAGCTGTGAAGCCTTTTCAGTTTCTCTGACAGCTATTTAAATCCAGCTTTTTTCAGTTGCTGGTATAAACTTCCAAAGCAGAATAATGTTGGCACACTAAGTTAAATAGTTATTGGATGCTCAATATCTTTGCACTTGCAAGTTCTCCAACAGAACTCCTCTAAACTCCAAAATGAGTTTTTCTCGGTCCATTTATGACTAATCACATTAATCCTCTTCTGTGGGTCTGATGTTGATAATGCAGCATTTCTGTTCTCTTTGTGAGACACAGATTGTCAGAGCAGCAGAGAATGGAATGGATAATAATGCTCCAAAACATTCAGCCCCCTGTTGTACCTCTGCCAACAGAAATTCCTGGGTTGTCACAATTTGCATGGACTATGAGGTTTGCAGTGTTGAAAGGATTGGGAAATACTTCAGCAAAAGCAGAAACAGCTTTTCCCAAACATTTCTTGCCTTGCCTGGTGCCTGGACACAGCTGTCCAGCAGCATTCAGCAGACAGGAGTGGCCAGGGCTGGCTCCAGGCTCCTCTGCAGGCAAAACCAAAGGAGAGGTGAGCCCATGGCAGGGTTTCCTGGGCACAGAAAGGGAAAAGTGCTGTGAGCAGGGAGCAGAAGATGTAAGAAGATGAAGAGTAAGTGTTATGGGAAGCTGCTGTAACAATTCTTTTATTCCTGGCGCATCTCAGAACTGGTCTTTGCAACTTTCATAGCTGAGAATTTGCAAAGCAGGGACTGAATTTCATTTCTGATTGAGAATAATATTCCACCTGCACTGGGTGCTTCCCCAGATGGGAAAGAACCAGACAGGGCATTTTTCTGCCCAAACCCCAGTTCATTTATCTACCTGCACATGAGCCTCACTCTCAGCAGGCCTTAAAGCTTTGCTGGGTCAGAGCTAACATAAAGCTCTAAGTGCTTTCCAACAAGAAGGGAACAGAATTGTTTAGTCCAGACACTCATTAGCACTGCCACCATTTGTCAAGAACATCTTGCAGCTCTCTCTGCTCCATGGTTTGCTCTGTGCATGTTTGATATTCATGTCTCCACAAATGTCCTTTGTCCTGTGGTCAAACCTCTCCCAAGGCTCAGGGCCTTGGCTGTGGGCAGCTGATTCTTTGGGTTGCCTTCTCCTCTCAGGACATGAAGATGTATGCCTGATCCAGTCAAGTACTAATCAAGGCTTGAATGACTCCCAGTATCCCTCCTGTTCATTTTGAGTTGGGAATATATCAACCACAGAGCAAAACAGTGTTCCTCAGCAGTGTGTCACAATGATTGGTTGTATGGGTGTCACAGTTCTGCAAGAAATACAGTAAGTTCCGTTCTGTTGTCAGGAGTGCTGCCTCATGGGGAGGCATTTGTAACTAAAACTGTTGCTCATTTGCAGAATCTGTAAGAAGAATGAAACCTTGACTGGAAATACGCTGGAAAGCTGTCGTAATAAATTTGACATAATATGCATGACATGGATGGATAGATCATTGTTTGCCAGGCCTGGCAAATAAAACTGGTGTCGTGGAGTCAGAATTACAGGGGGAGAGAAACATTGTTCTACAAGGCATGTTCCAGAGAGGAACCAAATCTGAAACAGCTATATATTTTACTTGTGCTTAAATTGAATAATAAAAAAGGCTTGCTCAGAAATCTTACTGTGCTTGGGAACACACATTGCTTTTCTTGTTCTTGTGAACTTCTAAGAAAGTTTCTTACTAATAAATAGAAGCACCTGCATTCTTTTTAACGTTCCTAAAAGATATTTAAGAAGCTGGAGTGAGATACCTAAGAAAGAAAGCAGGGAATCAGCGGTGCATTGTCATACCAGGGAGAGATTTAGGACAAGCATTTTAAATTTCACTTGAGATATCTTGCTCCCATTCTTGGTGGTCTTGCAAATTCCTTGGATGTCTCTGGCAAATTCTTCATTCTCTTTGGCCTGTGTTTTCAAAAGTCATCTCCAGGTTTGGTGTTTGCATTTCCAGCTCCTGGAGTGAAATATATAAACTGTAAGAAGCAGTTCCACTTTGGAGTTTTGTACCCTACCTTTTGTCTGTCTGCATCTTTCAAACCAAGATTATGTCTTATTATGTGCACGTGTAATTTCTAGCCCAAACCAAATCTGAACAGTTGGATGATAAATAGCATTTACAAGTATACACACTCTCACAAAAATACTGCAGTAAAATGGGTAAAAGGCATGAATTTGAATAGCTGGGAATTGCAGCTTGCAAAAAACAGACTAGAATTATGAATTTTATAGTAGAAAATAGCTATTTCCTGCTCTGGAGATTTTAGCAAAATAAATGGAATGCAGTACCACTTCTGGCATGTACAGGACTTGATTTTGAAGTGGGCTGTGGTATTTACAATTTGCTTTAAGAAGCAGCTGTGGGTCCATCCCAGCCCCATCCATGACTTCCAGCTGTGAGATTTAGGGCAGCAGTTTTCCAAAGTTCTTAAGTGAACCAGGCTTCGAAGACAAATTTAAACAGTCTGTGTCTTTCCTGGGAACAATTGCATCTCACAAGGGTAAGATGGGCTTTCAGCAGGCAGCTCTACGTGAACAGGGACAGCTGGAGGACAGAAAGTATTCTTCCCAGAGGAAGTACAGAAGGTATTCTTCCCTGAGGAAGGGCAGATTAATTTTGGCCCCAACAGTAAGAGATGCAAAATCTAAGCAAGCATGGAAATTGCCCTCATTAAACAGCAAAGCAATTTGCTGAGAACAAACTGCAGCTGATGACATTCGGGGAGAGGTGAGGTCACTCTTGGAGTGTTGAAAGAAGGAAAAGACCTATGGAAATGCTCAGATTCACTCTCTCTTCCCCCCTGGTGCTGGTAAGGAGCCATCAGTGCTGCCCAGCCCAGACAGAAGATCATTAATATTCCTGACTTGTGGCCCTGTGCTGCTTCGACACCAAGGAAAATGAATCAGTAAAAGGGAAGTTTGTTTTTTTCCTGTTGATTTCCACATTAGGGGACACAGTGTGGAAAGCTGGTTTTTTTTACCTTGGAGCAAAATTCTGTGGAAATGTCCAAATGTTCAGACTGTGTGTGCTCCCCTGCTCAGTGAGGGTCAGCCTGGTCAGGGTGGGCAGTGTAAACTCATAGCTCCTGGCCTTCCTCAGCCTCATCCCAAGGGATGAGATCACTTTTCCTGCCACAGAAGGGTCTGTGGTGATTGTTGGGCCACGAGAAAGGGATTGAGCCTGCCCTGGGAGCAGGGACTGTGACAGGAGGCAGCTGGGGACAAAGTCAGCAGTGTGGGGCTGGGAGGTTGAGTGAGCCACATTGCTCAGGACATCCCCAAGGCCGCTCTCCCAGCTGCAGAGCTGTCAGCACGGTTGGTCAGGCTCCCTGGAGGGCTCTCCTGGGAGCAGGGTGAGGTGCTGAGGTGGCAGCCAGCCCTGCAGGGACAGACAGCTTTCTGCTGAGGATGGGGTCCTGCAGACAGGAGAGAGCTGGGGACCCTTCCCTCCCCCCTGGAGACATGGGGATGGTTTTGGGATTATGGGGGTTGTCAGCTCTGCCTTGAGTGTTTGGGAGAATGGTGTTGTCACAGGGCACACAGGGAAGATGTGAGCAGACAAATAGCATGATGAAATTAGGTAGGCCCAGTTTCCACTTCCATGCCATGTCCAGAGTGTTTCCTCAGCCCTGGGGACAGGGAAATGGAGCCCTTGATGTGTGTCTGTCTCTGCCAGGGGAGAGGCTGAGCCTTCAGCACACAGGCACCCAGTGCTTTCATGTTATTAATGCCCTGTCTCACCTTCAGTTTAATCTTACTCATGGTGCAGTTCAGGACTCAGCTGGGGGAAGTCACACCTTTGGAAGGGGATGCAGTCAGGAGTGGGGCTCTGCAGGGTGTGAGGGGCAGGAAAAGCTCTGCAGGACCCACCCCTCACAGCCTCCTTCTTTGTTTGTTTGAGGAAAAAGGATCTGTGTTGGCCATCAGCACCTGCCCAGACCCCAGACACCTGCCTGACAGAAGAAGGCTGACAAGAGAGATGGATTTACAGCTTTGGAAGGTTTCATGCTGCAGGTCTCTCTCCTTACAAACCAAATTTTTGGTCTTACCAAGGGGACCAGGAAGCAGCCCATTCAGTAACTGTTTGGGAAGCCAGAAGGCAGCTCCCTTTGTGCTTGGATAAAGGTCACCATCTCACCCACCAGCACGGCAGACACAGGCTCAGTGAGCATGGAAAACTGGGAGAGATAAATGATTTTGCACTCTCACCAACAAGCTGTCTGTGTGGGGATGAAGGTCACCTTGCAACAACTCAGACCAATTATCTGAAGGAGGTTAGATCTCTGTCCTCTGCCTTTATATTATTCTCATAAACTGCATTTTTGGCATCACTTAGAAGCCAGGAACATATCAAACCCGCATATGTCAAGTGCAATTGACATCAAATACCTTTCATCGAGCCCCAAGCCTCTTGGCGTCTTTTGAGCTCTGCACCCAGGAAAGTGGCTTGTCAGAGATGATTTTTCCAACTGAGGAAGCAAGTAGCATAATGAGACAGTGTAGCTTCAGCAGACACCTTCCAACAAGTTTCCCAACTGCTCAGAAACCAAAACATGAGCCTGAATAGTAATTAGCCCATGAAGAAAGCTGGGGATACAAGGAATGCATCAACTGTATTAGCAATGCATTTATGGCCCCTCATTACAATTCTCCAGAAGCATTTCTGTCTGCGTTTCCCATTTTCAACAGCCAAGATCTTAGAATTATAGAACAGAAATACAAACCAAAAGTCCAACTGTGTCAAGTGGCACGAGCATGATCAGTGCAGGGAATTACCCAGATGTGCCAGGTGCTGTGCAGATGTGCTCAGCACTCAGGAAAGCCCTCGAGCTGCTCACAGATCTGCTGCTTCTGGGCTTCACAACAACCAGGAGGTGTTTTGTCTCCATCCAGGATGCCACCTTTCCCAGGCTGGGGCACCTCATGTGGTTAGAGGGAAATGCCCACCAGTTTCTGCACAACATGGATTTGCTCACGAGTAACTTTGTTGGGTTATTTTACATTTCTTCTCCAGAGCAATAGAGGGTGAGCAGCGACCTGGGAACACACAGCCACCAAATACAAAGATACTGGTAAAGGAGCCTTTTCTGATGTCAGCTCTGGTTCCCCAGGTGATGGAACTGCTCTGCTGTACTGAGTTTTGAAGGGTTGCCTGTTATAAAAATCTGAACTCAAGAGAGGCAGTTTGAAGAGCTGGGTGCTGCTGTAAGGGACTCTCTGGGCCAACTGAAATAAGTCACCCTTGCTCTGGATAGTCATAGGTCTCACAACACCTGAACAACATAGATTACAGGTATTTTCCTTTTTTTCCTTTTATTTCCCCCCCCCTCTTTTATTTTTCCTCTGAATTCACATAGTTTAAATATTCCACACTTCAGTTTTATTCCTTCTCTTCATGTATGCTTAGATAAAGTATCAGGGGAAGAGTATCTTTCTTTCATGATCATTCATTTAAGTCCTTTATATGTGTTTATTCTCTTATTTAAGCCATGAATCAATTCCCCAAGAAGGAAAAAATACTTTCAGGACTCATCTTCCGTATATGATGTTATGAGAAATCAATCATTGCATTATCTTCTCTAATTATCTATTATCTTTATTAGCTTTTATTTTCCAAGATAAAAAATAGGTATATTCATAAAAGCTCTTAGAAATGTTGGAAGATAAAGTTGGGAAAGTGAATGAGAATTGACACAATTTTCTGGACATTTTTTCCCAGTCATTTGTGAAAATATTCATTTATATGAGTCTTCAGAAGAACTTGACTTGGAAGAGTTTTCTGTAAGAGGCAAATATCAGAAAAAAATTTATTAATTTTTAGTAATGGCACACTGGAAGCTGGGCTTCCCCAGAAAAAGTAGATTTAGCAATTAGCACAGAAATTTGTGGCTAGATTGCCTTTGAAACTGCCCAAGCCTTAGGCAAAGTCCAAAATGGCTCTGGCCTGCTCCCACCTTGCAGATGCACACAGAAACACCTTTTTCATCAGCTAACACAGAAACCCTGACTTTCCCCTGCTGCTGTGACCTGTTCATTCATCAAGCCACTAGAAGACCCTTTGCCCTTGCCTTTCCCCAGCCATCAAAGGTTCTTTCTTCTCTGCTCTCCTCAAAGCCTAAAACCAGAAAGAAATTATGCATTCTCCCTAATTAATGTGGTGGTTTTTACAGAAATAATTTACTCCTCCATGTCCTTCACTGCTGTGAGGTTTCTATGCTAGTTAGGTTGCTCCTTCCCTGTTGGAAATGTTTGGCTGCAGGTTCCAGTGGTGGCCAAAACTGTGCTATGGAGTCCCAAGGGTGAGATGCTGAATTTCTAGAATTGGTGGGGTCTGGGTTTCTGCTGGGAGGAAAGGAATGGGTTAGCAAAAATCCCAGCCCTGATGCATGTCCAGGGTCACCCAGCACCTCAAACACCACCAGCAATGACTGGGGTGCCTCCCAAGTCCCTGCTGATTACTTAAAACATTGCTTTTGTATAAAAATAACTTGTAAGCTCTAACTCAAGCTGAGAGCTGCTAATAAGATGCCGAAGGAGCAATGGATTAACAGTCTAATACAGGAGAAGTTGTCCCTACTTCATTCTGTTAGCACTGATTCATCAAGTATTGAGGT